AGCATCTGAATTGTCATTTAATGCAAAGAGTTGGTAAAGTGAATGAGAATGTCACTTTTCTGACATTCTCATTGTCACTTTTCTGACATTCTCATTCATCTTGCTTTTATATTTTATTTTGTTTGATTAAACATGTGTCAGGATTTATTTTGATTAAAAAAAAGGTTTTGACAACTTGATATAAATTTTATTGGGAAGAGCATGAGATATATGGGGTGGCTCAGCTGGTAGAGCAGGTCACTTACTAATTGAAGGGCTGGTTGTTCAAGCTCCCTGTGCTCCACTCCGAATGACAAATATTTCTGGCCAAGATACTAACCCCAAGTTGCCCGTATGAATGTGTGCGAATGTTAGAGAGAAAGAGCATACAAAAAAAGGTGCTTGTGTGAATGAGGCAAGTTGTGTAAAGCGCTTTGAGTGCTCAGATAGAGTAGAAAAGCGCTATGAACCATTTGCCATCTGAGTCTCATCTGCTCCACTCTGTGTCTGTGAGGAGGGGCACACACAGTGACACAAACACACACACAGCAGAATAAGTGAGGATAGGAACAAAATTTCCCACTTAGATCAAATAAAGAGTGAAAAATAAATTAGGTGTATCATACATACAGCAATCTTTTTCATAAAGAGTTTGTGGCCTCAATAACTATTTAATAATTTTCAGTTTTGTAAATTTGTATATCCAATTTTTCCCAACTATATTTAATTCAAATCCGAAATTGTCTTAAAAGTAAGAGAGTAATGTCCATCTCAGCACTCAAGCTTATCTTTTCAACGCTGGTATCACAGTCATGGAACAGGGATAAAAGCTATATGATATGCAGGCTGTAATCAGTTGAGCCATATTATCCAATGCCTGCCACTAAATCTTTTTCTTCTTGTTGACTGAGCATTTATACACTGTGTTGTCCTTCCTTCAGCCCAAAGATGAAATAATTGGGAGAATTTAACACATCCCATCCATTATTTTAAGAAAGCATTTAGAGCACACTAATGAGCCACACTGCTGCACTGGATGGCACCTCCGTCTGGTAAGGAAGGGACAGACTTATGAAACTGGCTGTTATGCAATATTTGTATTATTTTCATGTTTGGCAATACATCTTCAACAATAATGTCAGTGAGTGAACACAATGTGCAAACATATTGATTAAATCCTTCTTCAGGGTGTGATACAGACTCACAGCGTGCCTGGGTATTGAGAGGGGAGACAAATTATTGGTTTTGACATTTTCATGTTTTTATTTATTTATTTATTTATTTTTTTGCAAAAGTGAGAAATATGGAATAAAGGAAGAATAATAGAAGATTGAGCAAAGCCCCTTTATTTGTTTCTTATATAGAACTTTTTGCACACAATGCTTCTTTTACTGAATTGGGCTGAAGGAACGGATTTCGGTTCCTTCACAGTGTAAAGAAGAAAACCAGAGCTGCAGTAGAGCCGCAGTGACACACTCAAGGAGAGAGCGACTCAGAGGCGAGCACAGATTCCTAGTTTAAGAAGTGAGAGAGAGACTGGGTGCTGTAGACAGACCATATTTATAGCCAGGGATAGGAATAATTCATTGTGATCAAAGTGCAGATCATGCTCCATTCCATCACGGAGCAGATGTGGCAGAATAAAAAGAGCATGCTTTCTCTCCATCTGCTCTCTAGCGGCTTCCCAAATGGAAACAGTGAGGCAAAGTTATCTCTGTGAAGCCGTTGTGTGTTTGTCGTCATGTGCTCTGTGCGCATTCTCAGGTGGCTTTTACTTCAGAAGGAGAATGTGTTACATCAAAGATGTAAAATGTGCTGAAAAAAGGATAAAAAAAAAAAAGCCTGACACATGCAACAGATCTTCTCCATCATAGTGGGGCGTGAATATCAGATTATGACCTTTGAGAAAGAGGTCATCTGCCTGGAGCCTTTTGCCATAAAGCATATACTCAGAGAACACTGAAAGTCACATTGCTGCTGAACGAGTGTGTGAAAAATGGTAAAACGCAGAGTCAGAGGTTAGAGCTGGCTGAATGAAATGCTGAGATACTTTTTTCCAATTGAGGTAAAATTCCATTTTACTTGTTTTTCCACGCAGCCTTCATACACCTCTTAGTATCATCAGTGAATACTAGCATCAGTATTAACCCTCTCAGGCTCAAATTAAACTTTTTGTTGCTAATTCACAACCAAGACCTGCAGTGGTACTTCTGAGTAAAAAAAAATCATAAAATATGTATGTGGGGTAATCAGGTTGTTAGTTTTTAACTGTTGCAAATCGGCAATGCCTGCCTCGAGAGGGTTAAGACCACCCATGTACAACACTCTCCTCGCAAATACAAAAGCAAGCATCCAATCAAACCAGTGTTTCTCTCACCCTTCATACTCTCATTTTCCAAGGGACACACGTGTTCCTTTTTCTTCCTCTTATTTTGTTTTTGTCTTTTTTTTTACTGAGTAATGCTTTCTCTGCAATCATACACAAGCACAAAGATACACACATGCCTGCTTCTTCCAGTTTCATTTTCTCTCCCTCCCACACACCGACACATACACACAAGTGCCTGTTTCTTTTTTCTTTCATTTTCTGTCTCCAACCCTTTCTGCTTCTGTCCCTTCAACACTCTCACTCACACACAGACACACACACACAGCTAGAGAAATACACAGTTGCATACATACACTAGCACCAGCACACAGACATGCAAGCTCCTTCATCTTCTCTTTCATTTCTTCTTCCACCCACACTTTTCCTATCACTACTTCCATGCATGCGAGCACACACAGAGGCGCCTGTACCATTTGCTCTCAGTTTCTCTCTCTCGCTCTCTCTCACTCACCCTTTCTCTCCCAAACCACTCCTTCAATACACACACACCCTCACATACTGTATATCCCTCTTTCTTTCTATCGTTTACTGTTTCTCTCATCCCGTCTGCCTCCCACAATCACGTACACACACCACCGGCAGTCCAGCTTCCCGTACACCCAGCTGGGCTTGGACAGCACTCTTCCTCTGGCCTCTCTTGGCCATCTGGAGTGCAATGTCCCTGCTCTGCTGGTCCTCTGCCAGCCACTGAGCCTCCCAGGATGAACGCAGCACCTTCAAGCACAATTTGTACGCGTCAAAGCTCTGCTGTGTGTCCAGTGACCCAGCTGAGTGAAGTCATTGAGTCTTGCATTTCCCACCTCAAAAGAGACTCATTCTGCTTTGATGACACCTGCACTCCCAATCTCTCTCGATGGAAGACGGCACAGTAATTGATTAAAGCTGCTGAGCAACCTTACTGGCAATTACAACTCTGTTTATTATCTTGTGGAGGGTCTGAATCTTTGCATGAAGAATGAATAACAAATTCTGACACAGAGGTCAAGTACTTCATTCAGCCTTGCAGGTACAAATACACCTGCCTTCTGCTCAGATTGTAAAGACATGTTAGAGTTAGGGAGAGAGGATAACAGCTCTTCTAGTAAAAATATACAAATAATAACAAACTATCTATTAAAGAGCCACGGAACACAAAAAAGCTGTGTTGTAAATTTTTAGCTAGCCATCCAGTTTTAAAAGCTTATCAGCCATAGCTTTAAGTTCTGAGTAGTCTCCTTCAACACCGCAAAAAGTCCTCTGACTTTGTAGGATATTGACTTAGTGTCTCAAATGCAAGAACGTGCCTTTGAAATTAAGGCGTGCCTTTTGAAATTAATCACAACTTAGGTTTTTCCACCTCAAAGAGGCTTTGTTCTGCTTTGATGACACCCACGCTCCTTCTCAGTCCAACAAGGTACTTGATTAAAGCAAGTAAGTCACAGCTCTTGCAATTACAACACTCTACAAGCTCTTTCAGATGTTAAACTTTTAACTGACCACATGGTTTGAACATGCAGTCTCTTATACAATCAGTTTACAACATTTTATTGGTCTGATATGATATTGTTTATTCAGATTTCTTTGGACAGTGCACTGGAAACATCAAGCATTTGAAAGCCACCACAAACCTTAAAGTTATGTTAGGGATGATTATGTTAGAACAATCTCTTTTGTGCTATAAAAGTGACATAACCCAAAAATACAGCCCTGAAGCCAGTTAGCGAGCAGCGGCTATTTTTATGGTCTAGTGAACACACCAATCTTAATGTGACACTTGAACAACAGCACACAATCTTTTTTCACTTGTTTCTATTTCCTGGTTATAGTCCAGCCACATTTTAACGTGATATAACAAAGGTAATCTACTCATAATAGTGGTATGAATTTCTAAACCTCAACACAACTTTTAAAGTTTTCCCTTACAAACACTGAATGTGAATTGAGTTTTGAGGCACATAGTCATGGTATGAAACAAACAAACAAACAAACAACAACTACAACTACTGTACAGGTACCAGCAGCAAAATGAAAGACCAGCACAAACTCCTGCTGTTCCAACAGAAAGCACCATTACTAAGTACAATGTTTCCCATGCTGCAGTGGTAAAGTATATGCTGTGTTTTCTCACTCTAATAATACATGTTTCAAAGAAGGAGTGATGTGTGAAAATGTCTGACAGCACAGAAAACTAAGTGCACAAGCAGTTATAAAGCTATGTTTTCATCATTTTTAAACACTTTCTGAAGTAAGTAAACTCTCTAGTGCACTTGAACCTAAGGGTAAATTAACGCAATATAGAAAACGAAGTCCCTCGAGCTTTTAAAACAACAATAACGGGGAAAGAATTTAAATCAGATTACATTTAGAAAGTGTCTAATACTGACAAGCATAAAGGACAGACAAACTGCAATACGTTTCCACAGCTGGAGAATGTAAGCTAAACAATCTAAAGACGCATTGATTATGAAACTTTGTTGCTATGGTAAAATCGGATCAAACTTTAAAATAAAACGTACGCATCAGAAACTCGGGGCAACAGATAAAGACGCGATTAAAAAAACGGAGGCTGGTTCATGTGTGGCCGTGATACAGACATAAATGAAAACAGCGTATCTTCATTACATTGTAAGGCACTGTACATCACTGCACTTACCTTGCCACGGCTCCTCAATACACTGAAGCTCAGAAGCAGGTGACGAAGTGAGAGGTTCCTCCTCTTGTTCACTAGTTGATCAGCCAAGTCTCTGTTTCAGCACCACGGAAAGCGCGTCCGCCTCTTTGGGGAAATGATGCAAGTTTACGGTTAATGCCGTGAAAGCATTGAATGTGCACACTGAACACGTCTCCTTCAAGTTTGATGCCACCTCGTCGACTCTTTTGCTGGAGCAAACATCACTCTCCTTGCCTGACGCTTTTAGGATGAGTATGGCCAATCATAATGCATCTCACTCTTCACTCTCACATCTTTGCGCATCCCCAAAGAGTCTCCAAGGACCGGTTCTCTGTCTGCCTCTGGGCGGGCACAGCTGCGGTAACGGTGATTTTAAGAGGGGCTTCTCCTGCTAGTGCAGCACATCTTCATTTGCGGTCTTCTCTTTGTCTTCACGGCGATGATACTGATAAAGATGGGGCTGCAAATTTTCACGCGCGCATCGTCTGGTAACGGGAGCGGAGCGGAGGGAGCCGGGAGCAGGAGGAGTGTCTCTGACGATCCGAGTTCATTAAAGACTCTTCTAATATGGATGAGCTACGCGTCTCATCGTTATTATTACCCTTCTTTTCTTACCAAAGGATGGGAACATGGCGCTGAAACTGTAAACTGTACGATATGAGCTGCGATAGTAAATGCGACTCGGCTACAGTAGAGGCGGCATAGAGTTTGATTCTCCTTTATCAGAGATACGAGACTGAGCTATATTAATTTATTGAAGTCCAGGATTATTGATACTCATTCTTTATTAAGAAATCATTAACAATAATGCAGTAAAAGTGCCACGTTGTCAATTTGTGTATGAGTTTGTTTGTGTCTGAGAATGACTTTCTGACTTTCAGATTATGGATTAGTGATAACGTTTAACTGAGGACACAGTCTGGATTTTTTCCTTCTAAATTCTGCGTTTTCTAGACAAATAGGCCTAACATGACTGCTGTTTTCACTGCTGGGGAAAAGTTACTGACATGACCCAAAAGAAAAAAAGATACAAACAATAAAAACAAGAGAAAAAGGGTGTCGGCATTGTGAGAATTAGTTATTTTATAAGTATATTGTTGTCTATGACACTTAATTAAGTCACTGATATAGCCTTTTCCAGAAATAATCCTGTTGTTGGCTGACATTAAAATATATTTTGGTGGTCTTCCTGCTCAGTGTACAGTTGACTGATTTTAGGTCCCGTTAGTCTTTTCATTGTGAGAAGATCAAGGTGCCACTTCAACAAGTTGGCATACTAAATTAAGCTAGTTTAAAATATCACAGCCCCCAGCCAGTGCGCATTCATCAGCCTCAAAAAAGCACACACGGTAAGCTATTTAATCTTGCACTGATTTGAACTAAAAGATTTTGCCCAGTCATTTTCTCTGAGAAAAAAAAGGATTCATAGTTGGAAAAAATAGAGCTTTAATGAAAAGAAAAAAAGCCCCGTGGGATGGATATCAAAAGCCAGTGGATGTGCATAATTTATCTCAGACTATTTCATAAAGCCCTGCAGAAGGGATTTTTAACCTGGTTTTTTTTTTTACTATTATGAAAAAACCCTTCTAATATTAGCACTGCTCACTTAGCTCTACTGAGGCAGAATGTTTTCGAGTTTTGTTTCCTAAATGACAGCCAGTACATGTGAAAACCTCATTTCACAATCCTTTGAAAATCTATGACACCACTGTCATTTAAATCTCAAAGTGCCAAACATGCTCACGGTTATTATCTGACATGATCACGGAATTTATGTAAAGCAATATTTAATTGTCACTATTTCCATCTGTCATGTTTACAAACACAAGTTGAGCATTTAATCTTGAGACAACACACATCCTGTATTTTGACTGTGTTGTAAAGTAGCTTATATGAAATATTTCAAGTGCAGTGCGCTGTGAACAATGCTCTTGTTCAGATAAATATTACACATCCTTGCACACGTCACTGTGGCTTTGTGAGAACGTGGCCTTATATCAGGGTGTGGCTGCAAAGAAGCTTGTGAGGCTTCAACCGGCACAGCTGACACATTAACTTGCTCCTCCTGACTTGAGCACATCCCCCTCTGCTGGTGTTTGGCAGCAAAGAAAATTCTTCTCTTGACTTGATTTGGCTGCAAGGACTCTGGGTACAAGTCCAAGAACACTAATTCAGACCCACAGGAAGGCTTTTCTACCACTGCAGTACATGCAGGGTTTATTGTGAAGCCTTTTTTTAAATTACAAAGCTGCTGCATGTATGTGGGACAAAACATCGCCGTAGTGCTGAAGATCTAAGACGCACCAGCACAGCAGCTGCAGCTTGTCTCTGGTGGGACTGTGGGCCATTTGTTGTGTGGGGTATCAGCAGGCCTGACTAGAAAATAAGCTGAAAATGATCAGTGTTGCCTATTTTGTAGCAGCAAGGGTGGGAAATCTCTGTATGGCTATGAAATACATCCTTTACTAATTAGATCTATGCCAAAAAATAGAACAGATTCTGGGATCAGATTACCCTGGAAAGCATTATTTTACACCCACATTGTAAAATGGATAGAAATGTTATTATTTTGTGCTCCAGATCAATGATTGGACTATAAAATTTCATGGCCATGTTTTAAAGACTTTGCTCAAGAAACAAAATCTTGAAGTGTACAGGATCATTTAACAGCATCTTGAAATGAAAATGTCACCATTTGTTTTAATGAACATATAGTCTGTTGGACAGTGAGATTCTGATGGATTTTGAGGGTTGTGAATCTTGACACAATTCCCTGTCCAAAAGACAAATAACCTCCTCGTGGCACACTCATCAGTTCCATCCTCTGACTCCTCATTTCTCATCCAACTCTGACATCTGGTGTTGCTCACAATCAATAGTGCTGGGATCCGAAGTCTGCCCAGAGCAAGAAGTTGCCTATTATGTAGCACCTACCAAAATTTGTCAACACCATGGTAAAAGTATGTTTTTGGTTTGTTGAGTTGACCACAGAGTTTTAGTTCATCATTTATGGTACATGCATTCAACTGAAATGTTCAGTGGGTTTAAAAAAAGTGTTATTATTTTGAGTGCTTAACAATCAGTGTCTCACACAACAGCTGGTTTGCTTAACCTCTGAAACTCGCATTCACACCTTATTCATTCATCTGTTTTCACCTGTCACTGATTTGTAAAATATAGATCTTAAGCAGTGAATGATTCATTACAGTCTGACAGAGAATGTACCCCAAGGTTCAATATTGCCTTATATAATCTTCCTCAAATTTATTATGGACTCAGCAATGGCATAACTCTGTAGCACTCTAAATTGCTCTTTTGGCTCCACTGCCCTGTGATTGATTATGATAAATGGGCATAAGCAACAGTTTAATGAATTACATCAGGCAAAATAAATTCACGATTCTCCATCTGAGCAGGCTATTTTATTTGTTGGTATTGACTGGTAGCACAGCAATGTCTCCAATTCTGACATTGGTCAAACCCTCAAGTTCCCTGTTCACTCGGGTTTTCGGTGAACTGGTGATTTATCATTGAGAAGCAGCAGAAATGGAAGATTTAGCTTGCTGAAAAATTGAGGGCATCAAGTTTTCACAGTTATATCCAAGATGCAAATGATCATACTGCAAATGTGCATGTGCTTGGCTTAAACACTGCACAGAAGCACCATGTAATTAGATTGAGTCAGCAGAGAGGGTCTGCAATATAGTTTCATCATGGACACAGCATAGGCATTATGTGATAGTGATAGCACTTGAAGCACTACAAATAGAAGGAAAAATTATCTGTTTTCAGTGGTTTATTTGTCCCATCTCTGCTAGAGAAAGAAAAAATTCCCTGATACTTTATCCTGTGGTCCTCTGATGAAGATGAATGCCCTGGTGTTGTGCCTCATTTGAGGTTCCCAGTGAGGGTGCACTAAGCTGGAGTCAGGCCCTGATCAATTGACAGGCAATGCACTGCATGGGCAGCCAATCCCCTGGCTACTGAGTACTCCGGTATCAGGGTGTGGACAAAAAGCATTAGGCCAACCATGGAGATGTGTAGGATGGGTAAACCCTAGGCTATGCATTTTACTCTCTGTATGCCAATTATCTGCCTGGACTCAGACAGACAGCTTAGGGTTATGTTTAAATATTCAGACTATATAAATGCAAAGTCTTCTGACTTTGCGATGGGTAATAAACTGCGTTGTTGCCTCTGAAGTGCAATGTTTTTATGCTGTTTTCTCTTTTGCTTTATGTTGCTGCACAGCACTGTTTCCTTTCAAGTTCAAATATTTTTCTGGGACCTCTTTTGTCAGGGAGGAGACTAAATGGCCTCAGTGGCTCTAAGCTTTGGTATCTGTTTCAGTGCACCTGCCTGCAGACTAGGTGATGTGCTTTGGGATGGCTTTATTTGGGTTGGGAGGATTCATGCTTGTGTCAAGACCACAGGATGACCTGTCTCTTCGAGAGAAGCTTAAAGTGATGAGTTGTAGCTTTTCTCATCTAGCAGTCATGTATTTGACTGCAGTATCTGCCAACTTCTGTATAGCACCTGGCTACCAATTTGCTATACCTCAGGTGGAAAAAGATTTAAAATGAACATTAACTGTTGATTTCATGTTGTATCACAGACTGGTACATCCTTGCTGCTTTAAATTTGCTCTTTGTTGCTGTTCTTACAACTTTAAAAGAATGCAATATATAATGACTTACCCATTTTTGTGTAGATTGAGTAAAAGCATGCAACTCTATGCTTATTTTGAAAATAACTGCAGTAAATTTAAATCTACCGTTTGAATTGCAGTAAGAAATATTTTTGACTCCCTTGTTCTTTCTGCTGCTTATTGGGAAACTGAGTAGTCGGTTAAACAAGCTCAGTCTTTGTAATCTACATAATTCAACAGCAGAAGAATTAAGATGAGCAACGGGCAATACCTTGAAATTAAAGAATAGTGTGTTTTGTAGCTTCTACCTCCTTTATCAGTAATGATTAATGATTAACATTGTAGCTCCAGATGCAAAATTTCCTTAGTGGCTTGTAAAAAATGTGGGAGTGTGTTTATATGTGTATATGTCCTGTGTTTTCTCATCTTTACACACTAAAGTTCATTATCTGTTAATGCACCGGTGTTTAAATTGTCAAAAAGCAAACATTTACCGAATATGAATCATATCGCTCTCTCTAACGCTCGTCAAGGAACAACAAACACTTTGTAGTGTACTGTGTATAAACTGTGTTCTAACCTTCCGGGGTATTATCATTAAATAAATGACAAATACTGCTGTTTAAAAGTGGTCTTGCCTCATAATACACCAATCTTCGACTCTGCTTATTGAAAAAGCTCCGGTATGACTGCAAAAAGATATCAGATATTTTCAGTGGGGAAACACTGAACTCTTATTTCCAAACATCAAGAAGGAGATAATCTATAGGAAATTGAGATCAGCTTTGTATCTCTTCATTGATAAATCAAATTCTTTGGAAAGAAAATAAGAGAATAAGAATTTGTAGAATAAGAAGACTTTATAGCACTGAAGCACAAATACAGTCTGGAAGGTTTAAATATACTTGTGAATCTTTTACACTTTTGGTCTTTTTTAAAACTTCATGAATAGATCTTGCCAGAGTTCATCCGGATATTGAGCAGAGTGTGAATTTCTAAGGCAGTAGAGTTGTGCCAGCGGACCTAGTGTCTATCTCTGGTGTATTCGAGTTGGA